GTGCAGCGGTGGTCAAAAAGGCAAATAGGATGCTAGGAATTATTAGGAAAGGGATAGAAAATAAGACCCAGAATATCTTACTGCCCCTGTATAAAACTATGGTACGCCCACATCTTGAATACTGTGTACAGATGTGGTCTCCTCACCTCAAAAAAGATATTTTGGCCTTGGAAAGGGTTCAGAAAAGGGCAACTAAAATGATTAGGGGTTTGGAACGGGTCCCATATGAGGAGAGGTTAAAGCGACTGGGACTTTTCAGTTTAGAAAAGAGGAGACTGAGGGGGGATATGATAGAGGTCTATAAAATCATGAGTGGTGTGGAGAGGGCTGATAAAGAAAAGTTATTTATTAGTTCCCATAATAGAAGAACTAGAGGACACCAAATGAAATTAATGGGTAGCAGGTTTAAAACTAATAACAGAAAGTTCTTCTTCACACAGCGTGTAGTCAACCTGTGGAACTCCTTGCCAGAGGAGGCTGTTAATGCTAGGACTATAATAGAGTTTAAAGAGAAGCTAGATAATTTCATGGAGGTTAGGTCCATAAAAGGCTATTAGCCAGGGGATAAAATGGAGTCCTTGGCCTCTGTTTGTCAGAGGCTGGAGAGAGATGGCAGGAGACAAATCGCTTGATCATTGTCTTCGGTCCACCCTCTCTGGGGCACCTGGTGCTGGCCACTGTCGGTAGACAGGATACTGGGCCAGATGGACCTTTGGTCTGACCCAGTACGGCCGTTCTTATGTTCTTATGTAATATAGTGTCTTTTCTGGTAAATTTAGTGCAAATGCCAATTGTTTCTATGTTTTAGAGTTTCTCTTAAAACTGTACATTTACTCATTCAAGCTATGAGTTTTTGGTTTACAAAGACTTTTAGGCATAGTTATTCAAGTTAATATAGGTGAATTTAAGATAATAGACTAATTATACAGTGTATAAGCATGTACTGACATGTAATGACATTGTAAAGTTAACCTACTGCAGTCTGTGTAGCATTTTATTTTACACTGAATTTAATGAGATTTGTAAAATATGTATTTCTTTTAACATGTCAAAAGCTATTAACCTCTATTGTGAACCTATCCCCCAAATAAAATCTGTTTTCAAATATGTAGTTGTCAAAAATAGTTAGTAAAGTAAGATATTTTTAAGGTGTAGGAGGGAGTTTTCTTTGTTTTGCAAATTTGTTTTTAAAATTACAACGAAAAAATGTACTCAGAATTGCCTAGATACAAATGGAATGGATAAAGTATCAGATCCTAGCTAGACAGGCATGACAAAAGTTAACCTTTATTAAATATTTAATAATGATAACACTTCCTAAAATATGTATATATTTATATTGAAATAAATGTAGTGACAGGCTGGACAATGGAACCTTTAAACACAAAAATAAATTAATCAGTAAAATGTAAAGTTTATATTGCAAGCATCTCCTCAAACAAATCTGCTAATGCAATTTTTTTTTTTAAACTTTTACAGCAATATTTCAGGTATCTAGAGAAAAATGTCATCATATCTTACACCAAGTGCTTCGGTCTTTTTATCTTGTGAGTTTTAACCGAAGATATGGAGAGCGACATTATTTTTGCCACATTTCCTGTTCAAGATACTAATTCTCACCTGTTTCAGGGTCACTGAAGTCAGGTAAGGTAATTGTAGTGAGTTGTCGTCTGTCTGCAATGGCTCTGTCTAACAGACTGCTCCCGCGTCCAGAATCACTGTAACATAATATTTAAAGGATGTCATTTAAAATATAAAAATCAAACACTGACTGTTGACATACAATTAATATAATGTCCCTCCTCACATGTTCTTGCAAAACAGTAGTAACCAAAGTTTAGTATTAAACATGGCCAATTATTCAGTCAAACAACTACACTAAATAAAAGCTAACTAAAAATAACCACACTTATTGTAGCAATTCTTGTTCCATAAATACTCAATCAGAATGGTCACAAAAGATACAAACATTTAAAGTGGTTCATATGTTACAGCTTTACAAGCCAAATATATACTTAGACTCGAGATATTAAACGAGTGCACGATACAGTACATTTATATAACAATCAGTCAAATGATGACAGTCCTAAAGAACACAGAATCTAAACACATCCAAACCAGAACATAGGACAAAGAGTTAAAGTTGAAGAGAAGCTGTGGATATTGCTAACGAGTAAAAGAACTGCTCCAAGACCTGAATTTTAACTAGGGATCTGAAGAAAAGAGGATGTTATGCTAATGAACCAATTTACTTCTATCCTTAATTTAAGGCAACAACCTATGTAAAAATACAGATGGTATAGGAGACCGGTAATGAATTTTTCATCTCTGGTTCACTACATTTGAGTCTAGTCTGGCAGTGACAAAGTCAATGCCACCTACCTAGCTGATTTGGCAGCCTGCGCCTACTGGCCTACCAAATTCACGGTCCATTTTGGTTAATGTCACTGTCATGGGATTTTAAAATAGTAAATTTCATTATTTCAGATATTTAAATCTGAAATTTCACAATGTTGTAATTATAGTGGTCCTGAACCAAAAAAAGTTTTTTGGGGGGAGGAGAGGAGGAGGTTCGCAAGGTTTGTTGGAGAGGTTGTGTACAGTACTGCTACCCTTACTTCTATACTGCTTGATGCTGGTGGCGGCAGTGTTGCCTTCAGAGCAGGGCAGCTGGAGAGCAATGGCTACTGGCCTTGGAGCCCAGCTCTGAAGGCAGAGCCAGCACCAACAGTCGCACAGAAGTAAGGATTGCATTGTATGGTACTGCCACCCTTACTACGTCCACATTGCTGCTGGTGGGGTGCTACCCATCTAAAATAATCTTGTTACTCTCCTACAACTCCCTTTTGGGCCAGTGCCCCTACATTGAGAAATGCTGGTTTCCCTTGTGAAATCTGTATAATATAGGGGAAAAGCACACAAAAGACAAGATTTCATTGTGGTGCCATTTTCAGCAGACACGCCAGGATTTAATGGGAATGGAGAATGAATTTTCTCTCACCCCTGAAGTGTCCCTCCATATTGGCAGTAAGGAACACTAGCACATCAGTGAGGGGAAACTTGAACTGATACTGTCTGTGCCTTAAACATTCTGTGCATAAACATACAACTTTTGTTTCTAGAACTGTTAATTTGTATCTTTAAAAACAACTGTGCCGCAGGACTACTCATTTTTAAACTCATTATAGTTACAAACTTTAAGCACAGAGTGAAAATACTATTTCTTTTATTCAGCTTTCGCTAAAATGTTACTAAGAAGATCTTGAATGGCACTAATGTCATTGCTAGACTGCAATTTTTCTGTAAAGGGATGCTATTATAGCACTACCCAGGAGACAGAAGGGAATTTTCTGGGATACAGACTATCAGGCATAGTTATTACATCAGCTGGCACATATTTTTGGTAATTGCTATATTAATTTCTCCTTCAACTGAGGAACAAGGCCGCAAAGTATTTTTGAGCAGGAGAACAACATTTGAAGTGAACTACAATTTAATTACTGCACTGACATTCTGGGTGATTATCTAGTTTCCTCCTGTAGTTAGTTCATATTTTGTATTTATTCCAAAATAAACCTATATGGGACAATGTCCTATACTGCTCTAATTTGGAGTGTGTTCTAGCTTTTTCCTATTTAATTAACAGAAATGGAATGAATGTTACATGCATATACATTGTAGGGATGTAAAATTCTGATTAATAAGTTAACTGACTGTGAAGGATCCCAGGTGGGGGATGACTCCAGCCCAGCTGGAGCAGCCTGCAGGGCTCCCCTTCCCTGTCTTACGTGGGGCTGGCTGCTGGCTCTAGGCCCCAGCCATCAGCTGCAAAGGGTGGACTGCAGCAGCCCTCTACCTGTGATAGGCTGCTCCCAGGGAATGAGCTAATCTGTTACCCATTCACATCCCTAATATACTTTACTATATATTCCTTAATTAGGCTGAGCTGGTTAAGAAGGTAAGTAGTGCAAAATTAATAAGAGAAAAGTATAGAAAAAGAGAGCCTACAATAATTTTCAGAATGCTTTAGCAACCAGACTACAGATACATTGAATTTGATCCATTATTCCTTAATCCTACAAGCAGTGAGAAAGTATTATGATTAGCATTTTTATTACATGTGTTCTGTCCAGTTAGTCTCATAAGTAACATTAGTGAGGACAATAAGTAGTCTTGTGGCTCCTTAGAGACTATCAAAAATGTATCATGAGCTTTTGTGGGTAAAGCCCACTTCATCAGATGAACTGTTAATGGGGATTCTGCTAATTAATGGGGACAATGAGTCCAACCCTCTCCTACAAAAGGTGATCTGATAGCAACCAGAGATATGTACTATAACAAGTCAGAAAATGGAATTTTCATTCAGCAATTCAAATTAGAAAGGGAAACCTCTTCTAATTATAATATCACTCCATATTGAGCTACTACTGGTGTGAAAATGCAATATGCTGCAATAGGATAGGCATGTCACATTACCACAATCCTGCCAATGCTATATGAGGGGAGATATGCCACATCAGATGCTATATAAGGGAGCGGTGTGATACCAGCACAACTTCCAGAATGCCAATATGATGGGATTTGCAAAATCAAGTCTCTCCACTGTCCAGCATTTATTTATAGCCCTCCCTCCCTGCAGAGATCTACTATGATCCTGACTGTAATGTAAATAGATTTTTGTAATTTAATTGTTAGAATTTTTTTTTAACCAAAATCAGCAGCCTTGAAATCTGGGTTAATATCTAGTAAGGAGATACAGGTTCCTAAGTTCTTAAGGGAAAAGGTAAAAAGATCAGGAGAGCTGGCAACTATTATTTTTCAGAAATTATATAAAACCAATGTAATGAGAATACTAAGCTTTTATAGTTCAGAGCAGGTCAGAATTCCTGCAGGTATCTGGAGGAGTTGTTACTTAACTGAAGTATTTTTAGGCTGGGTAGCACTGAACCCATCAGGAAAGCAATGACAGAGCACAGTTAGACATCTGTAATCCACACAAGTATAACTGCATATTGCAGGAGGGTATAAAGATATGCTTGCAATGTTACACACACAGGCATGATACTGATATTAAACTTGTAAATGAATTGCAACCATTTTGCTCTGCAGAGCATTCTGTAAATTTGGATAAGATACTATTCCCCATACATAAACTAGGAAATATTAAATATTTTTCAAAGGACAAATACCACATCTGAATCTATTAACAGTATCTGCACTCTTGCCAAACAGTCTTATTCTAATTCAATTTCTAACCCCTTTTTATACAGGGGTAACAATCGGAACAGAATATTTAGGCTTGTAAATATTTATAGAATATACAAGGTTGTTGATTAATCTTAGCTAATAACAAAACAAAAATATAGTGCTACTCTCTAGCACAAATCTCCTCCCCCTTCAACAGAAAGTTACCCCCACAAGTGGCATCCGTCATGTTTTTAAACAGTCATACACTGCAGGAATTTAAATGAAATAGAAATATTCCTTATATCAATTATTTTTCCATAAAGCACACCTAAAGTTACATCTTATATAGCTAGTACAAACAAACAATTAGACAGGTATTTGGAAGCAAAACTTTTTCAGGTATAAAAGATACCACAATGAAGGGCACACTTCAAGATGAACCTCCTGTCTCTCCTGTGGTCAAATTGCATATATTGCCATTGATAGAAAGGTAAATGATTCTGTGGTACTATGTGCTCAATTAGGATCTCGCCCTTTACAACACTAAAGAAATATCAAAGGGCAGAGACTTGGAATTAACTGGTCAATTATAATTACTTTGACAGAGCTAGTTTTTTGCCTTAAACGTCCTCAGTGAAAAGGGTGTCTTTAAGAAGGGCTTCCCTCTGCTATGCAGAACCTTAACTGGTATAAATTAGAACACCCATAGTTTCTCTAACTTATGGCCAAGCCAGGTCCAGCAGAGACCAAAGCGCAGCTTCGGGGATTCAAAAATAACTATCTTATGTGCCTTCTCTTCTCAAAGATCATTCCTACTCTCTGAATATCCCCATTGGAGTAGCTTATGTGTTACTTCTCCCAGATACCCCTCTCTACCCTCCCAGAAAATGGATGCTATTGGCTCTATTAGCAATTATCAAGTGAACTTGCTGAGTTTTAAAACAACTAGTAGTCCTGTGGTACCTTAGAGACTAATGAAATATACATACACAGTATCATGAGCTTTTGTGGGCAAAACTCAGGTCAAGCTCACCTCATCTGAAGAAGTGGGTTGCCCATGAAAGCTCATACTATGGTTAGTCTCTAAGGTGCCACAGCACTACTCATTGTTTTTAAAGATACATACTAACACAGGCTCTCTAAGGCTTAGTTGAGTTTTAGTTCTTGTTAAAGGCTACTCTGACTGTATATTAAACATATCAGACTTAGACCCCTAATCCCCTTTGAAAATCAGAAATCAATAAGTCCAGAAATCTCTAAGGGTATGTCTACACCTGCACCCTAGTTTGAACTCAAAATGCATTCAAAATAGTCAATGAAGTCAATGAAGCGGGGATTTAAATATCCCGCGCTTCATTAGCATGATCTCGCCAACGCGTTACTCCGATCAACAGCTGTTTCGAAAGTGAAAGTGCGTGCTGGGACGCGTTAGTTCGAACCAATGTTACTGAGGAGTTACCAAGGGGTTTGGTTCAAACTAACGCGTCCCAGCGTGCACTTTCACTTTCGAAACAGGTGTTGATCAGAGTAACGCGCCAGTGAGATCATGCTAATGAAGCGCAGGATATTTAAATCCCCGCTTCATTGACTATTTCGAATGCCTACATTTGCATCCCTAGTTCGAACTAGGGTGCAAGTGTAGACATACCCTCAGTTTCCTTATAAAAGCAGAAATGCTAATCTGTAGTAAAAAAATTAGGACAGGCCTTTTCAGCTTTTGGTGTCATAAAACTTCTTATAATTAATCACTGATTTCTGTCTCAAAACTGTAGAGCAATGTATTGAAAAGAAACCTTTCGTAAAGAGAGACCAGACATACATTATATCCCAAGAACCATCTTAGTAGAAAACTCAAGGGAAAAGATTTATGAATTGTGATTAAATCAGAATTCTTATGACAAATTTTGATGTACAGGAGACAAAATCCAAAGTAGCTTTAGCATCTTACCTGGGGTTAGTGAGATTGTAACAGGACTTCCAAATCTGTAGCATATGTTTGCAGGTAAGGAGTGCTTCATCTGGGCCTCTGCACAGGGATTCCAATTTGGCTTTTGAAAACAGTAATCTAATGGAGAAGGGGAAATTTTTTTTTGAAAAGCCACACTGAAGCATAACTCAATCTTCATTTAAGAGATCCTTGCAATGATTTGAAAACAAATTGGAATACAAAAGTTCCCAATACTACCAACAAAGAACATAGGAGAATCTGAAATATTGACTATATAGTATCAGGTCCTGGAACTGTATTCTTTAAGGAATTTTCCTTGCATTACACATCACATACAAAGAAATAATTCTAATAGGAGTTCTATGTGGAAAGTTATGGATGGTAAAATAAAACCCATTTTTTGTTGTGGAAGCATAAACATACAGTAAATTAAATCTGATTTTCATATAATTTAAAATTCATGCAGATCTTGGTCTGAATTAGGAAGCACTCTTCATTTAAATTCTATGTTCAAGTGGGAGTCTCTATGTAATTTTTTCTTCTAATTCTCAATTCGGGCTCCCTTCAGTACCAAAATCATACACTGACTTCAGGATTTTTTTTTTTATTCTTGATGGAAGCATAGTGTGTTTTATTACTGCAAACACAAGGCCAAAATATCTGACCACAGAATACAATTTCTATGATACGCCACAATTATCAAATCAATCTTGGGGACCAGTAATGATAGTGGCATTCTGTAAATTTGACAGTGACACAAGGTGTGTGAGGTAATATATTTTATTGGATCAACTTCAACGGGTGAAAGAGACAAGCTCTCAAGCTACAGAGAGGTCTTCTGGATTCAGTAACAGACATTTCCTTAGATCCACCTCACTTGTCTAATATCCTAGGACCAACACAGCTCTAACAACACTGCAAATATGGTTTTCACCAGGCAATTACAATGAGGCTCAGTGGATTCAGAATAAAATGTTTTTTATTTCTTTGTGTTTCAATACAGTATCCTCATGGAACACTCAATCAGGCATATTCACTTAAAGAGGTTTAAGCAGACCATGACATTACAGGCAGTCCCCGGGTTACGTACAAGATAGGGACTGTAGGTTTGTTCTTAAGTTGAATCTGTATGTAAGTCGGAATTGGCGTCCAGATTCAGCCTCTGCTGAAACTGATCAGTTTCAACAGCGGCTGAATCTGGACGCCAGTTCTGACTTACATACAGATTCCACTTAAGAACCCCGGGCGTCCCCAACACAG